GGAACGTCAAATTTGTTCTTTAGAGTTATAGAATTCCCCGTAGGCTTGACAGGATCTAGAATATGAAGTATAATTGTTACTTTAGGCAGCGAGACAGCAAGCAAAACCGATATCATTTATGGTACTTACTGTCAATGTCTGTGTCTTTTTTACTTGATACACTCTTCTCACTCTTACCACATGCTGCTAATGCTGTTACCCAGAATTCATAGCTTGTACCAGGATTTAGACCGTCGATTACCGTGTTAGTTCGTGCTCCATTCTGCTTGTGAGTGCTTGAAAATGAGTAATTGCTCCAGTATGGTTTAGAACCTTTTACTTCAATCTATCTAAATCGAATGAAGACCATATGTTCATTTTAAACACAACATCAAACCAAGTATTCAACCAAGTATTTGATTTGACTAGTCTAGATAGCTTACGCCTTACCGTATATTCATATACAACCAATGACAATGGCAAGGGTTTTTCCCATCTCACTCTAATAGAAGTCTTTGTTTGACTCTCGGCTTGTACATCAGTAGGTTCTGTATCAAATGTTTTTTTCCGTTAGCTGTGTTCTGAAACTAGTTTCAAAATATCTTAAGAATATCAACTCACGTGCAAGCGATGTCAAAATATTAATGGTACTTTTGGGTCCTGGTCCAACACTGGTATAACCCCTGACAGATACTGTATAGTTTGCACAAAATCTAAGGTTGCACAGTATGTACTGGGTAGCCTGTGTTGTAGTATTAAACATATCCTGTAATGATCTTCCTGAACGACCTCCCTCAATATCTATTGACCAAAAGATCTCGTACTTAGTAACCACGCCGTTACTTTGAGCTGTTGTTAACGGTTGCCAGGTAACCAGAAATGTTGTGTCGTTTATCTTTGTTGCTGTTGTCTTTTGTGGACCAATATCCGGGGCTGAGAGAAATAAAATATGAAAATTGAAGACGTAGACATATTAAAAATGTTGATTTAATGGAGGAAAAAAAGATAAAAATATAAATTAAAAAGAAACATTTTATAACTGATTTATTCCTCACCATCCTCTAATGTTCTTATTATTGTAACACTACATGCAGGACCCACATACATAGTGTTTCGTACAGCCACTGATATGTTGTAGCTTGTGTACTTTTTGAGATTTGTCAAAGTTGTCATATTAACGTTACCCACGTCAATTGCAATCTGTTGTTGTGTTCCGCCCTCTGGTTTGTAAAAGATCCTGAATCCAGTCATTGGGCCATGTAACAGGTCTAATTGTGAGTACTGGAATAAACCAGGTTTGCAATTAATCAGAATTTTAAATTGTTTTTTATATTACTGCTACAGTTTTAATCAAAATGGCAAATAAAAACCGTGTCTGCATGGAGCTTAGCCGCGTTGTCCAATCGAACATATTCCACGGGACACTAGACTCATAAGATTATGCTACCTATATGTACCTTGCTTAACCTTGCTTACAAATAACTAGAGAAAACTATACGCAACTTGAAACATCATAGCCTTGTAGTTGATAATTTTTACCTGGAAATGAAGCTGTATACTTTGTGACGACAGGACATTTTCCCCTGTGATTGATGGTAAACCTTCAGGCTCTGCATTCATAATTAATAAATAATGAACAAGTTTTAAGAAAGTTATGATTTCAAGGACTTAGGTAAGGGCAAAAGCTTTCCACTTTTTAGCCAATTATTCTTTGAAATTTACTTTTAGTGCTCAAAAAAGGCCACAACAACAACAACAACAATAACAAACATACATACACACAAACAACTGAACACACACAATAAAATCACAAAAAAGCAAATTTCCAATGAATATGCGTCACCTACCCTAAACCTTTCCTACTAAACTTTGTCACCCGTACGTATATGCCCTAGAACATTTCTAATTAATGACTGTCACAAATCGACAGTTGCTATCTTCAGCACCACAAAAGTAGCAGTAATTAACGTCTCACTTGATATGATTAAGACAAGGGTTTATGTAATTTTTATTATTTATCTTGAGCCTATATTATGATACAAAGCCGGATGGTAGTAATTGTGGTATGGAATGCCTATAAACAACAAACAATTGAACATAGTATATACCAGCAATCAACGTTCTAACATCYAGCCAACTGCTCCACAGTCCTTGCCCAACGACACTTATCGCCTTCACTCTGATGCTGTAGTTGGTGTACGGCTTGAGATGTTCAATAGTGTAGTTAAGAGCAGGATGATGTGCATTATAGGTCACCGTTGAACTCTGATTACTGAGCTGTATATTGTACGAGTTGATGGTACCAACGTCATCAGAAGCTGTCATTGCGGGCCATTTCGTTGTTATCGACCTCTTGTTTAGTTTTGCTGTCACATTTGGTGCTTTAAAGACATCTTCGTATAAAAAAGGGACTAAAGTTTAGTAATAAAAGATACCTTATAAAATTGAGAGATGATGTCATTGACTTACTCAAAAATACGGTCACTTTCCCCGATGCCTCATTCATTCCTCCACTTGGCACGTAGTTTGGATACGTTGCCCTACACGTGTAGAACGTGTTGCAGACCACAGCTCGTGTGTTAGGATCTTGTCTTGTACAGTTGTACTTGGACACCACGTCTTCAGCAGAGATAAACCGTACTTGTAGTGTTGATTGTGTTGCACCGTTGATCTTTGTTCCATTGTTAAACCACTGGATGTCAGGTGCTGGTTCACCAAGTACACTACATGTTAATGTAATGGAACTTCCTTTGATGCTTGGAAGGATGAAATCAACAGTATCCAAAATCACTTTTGGGGCAACGACTGAAATGATACCGCACAATTATCATTATTGATTAGATTTTAATATTCCCATTAGATCAGTAAGGATTTCAGTTTAAAAATACTTTCTCGTATGACTTACAGATATCACATCCATAGACTTCAAATCGTAGACAATGACCGCCCCCTGAGTTGTGGGTCTGAGGGGTAATTCTGATATAACGTGCTGCTATTGGATTTCTAACCCAGTTGACTCTGACGGCATTCCTATCGCTGTTTCCTTCTAAATTCTATTTAATAAAATTATATAATGTACAAAAAAATATAATAAGTGGATTGTTAACATCAAAAGGCTTTTAATAATCTCACATTAAAAAACACCTGTCATTAGATCATTAGGATGTACTTATATAGCAGGCTTATATATACAGGGTTCGTGCTACTCCTTGAAATCCTTGAAAACTCCTTGAATTGAAAAAACATTTTTAAGGGCGCTTGAAAAGCCCTTAAAAATAGAGAAAACGCCAAAACTCCTGGAATACTTCTTGAATTGAATGCAAACATAATGCTATTTCTAACTTTCCTTTTGAAATAGATAACGATTAAAATTGATTGAAGAGTTTTCGTATATTTCGTAAACAGCCTAGCTGAATATCTGAATACTTCTGGTAAGAATGCGTATATTGAAGATCTATTTATCTAAGCTAGTGGCCCCGGCTGAATTAGCTGCACTGTAACATTGAATCAATGCTTAAACCACGTTCTAATACAAAAAACTTTGTCCTTGAAAATCGAATATTTGTGCTTGAAAAGTGCTTAAAAAGTCCTTGAATTTTGTAACGAAAATGTTGCAAGAACCCTGTATATATGACTATTAATCATAGCCCAGACTATATTACCTTAACGACCTGTCCTTGTTTGTACTCATTCCAATATCTGTTATCAAAGCTGTAGCCAACTTTGTATGACGTCACCCATGCATTCATATGTGGGTTACCTTGTGTTGCAATACCTGTCACTGTCTTGACCTGTCCAAGGTCAACCTGTATGTACTCATTATTACCAATTGTTTGGCTGCACCATGACGAACTGCCATACAGACGACCACGTGATGCAGCATGGAAATTATCCGATGACGAAGATGACGTTAAGTGTGAGTCTGGTATTTGTGAATTCTCAAGACCAAGCGACGAGGTACAACCTTGAACAAAATTAATGCAATTTTATAATTTTCATAACTCGTCTCACATGCAACCATACAGAATACTTTAAGATTTCGTACCAAGTGGAAGTCCTTTGAAATCTACCCTTAGAATCTTCCATTGTTTGAACTCTTTTGGAAGTACACGAACAAACCTGGCTCTGAATGGGTTGGATATTGCATTAGTAACCACTGTTGTTCTTTCAGAGTTACCGCTAAACTGTCAAACACAAAAACGCAAAAGAAAAATCGAGAAGTGTGAGCTGGAAAATATTTTTTTATTACCACATATCTATGATGCGTGTGATAAATGAATGCTGTTATTGGTGTTTATGAAAGTCAAAATCAAATTCCTTGTTAACATGGTATCCGTTTTTTTACTGTCAAACACTCCCGTTTTTCAGTTTTTCTACGGCTTGGATCATCTCTTTAATGAAGTGTGCATTCATTAGCAGGAGGGGGTTTGATTGGGTCCACCAAATTAAACTACAATGGAAATTTTTACAATGGCGGGTCTCTATAAACTTTACCTCTTTTTCTCCAGACTTGTTGTGATGTGTTGGCCACTGCAC